TCCAACTTCTGTAGTTTTGTTTATACAACATGTCGTATTGTCCAACTCCGGTAGTTTTGTTTATATAACATGTCGTATTATCCAACTTCTGTAGTTTTGTTTATACAACATGTCGTATTGTCCAACTTCTGTAGTTTTGTTTATATTACATGTCGTATTGTCCAACTCCTGTAGTTTTGTTTATATAACATGTCGTTTTGGCCAGCTGCTGTAGTTTTGTTTATACAACGTGTCGTACTGTCCAACTTCTGTAGTTTTGTTTATACAACATGTCGTATTGTCCAACTTCTGTAGTTTTGTTTATATTACATGTCGTATTATCCAACTCCTGTAGTTTTGTTTATATAACATGTCGTATTGTCCAACTCCTGTAGTTTTGTTTATACTTCCTGTCGTTTTGGCCAGCTGCTGTAGTTTTGTTTATACAACATGTCGTACTGTCCAACTCCTGTAGTTTTGTTAATACTTCCTGTCGTTTTGGCCAGCTGCTGTATATGTGTGAATATTCCATTGTGTCGTCTAGCGTCTTGTTCTGTACTTATGTGAATTGATTTTGGAATATTACCTGTCATAAGTATAACTGCTATGCATTGTAATAATACGTGTCGTGTTGTCCAGTTCCTGGGCCTTCTCAGCACTATCCTGGTGTCAGCCAGTTACAACATTAACTGTTATGCCGGTTACGGATCCACTTACGACTTCTTTGAGTTCGTCGCCACGTCGTGGTTCATCCTCACCTTCTTCCGTTACATCATATTTCTCCTCACGAACAAGAATGGCTTTCTCTGTGGTTCGTTCGTACCATGGACTTTGTTGGTAAGTAATCTTACTAAACGTTTCAGATGAAATTGTAAAAAAAAAAATGTTGACAAAATTAATACTGTTGATCTTGCATTATGAAATGGAAAATACATACACACGAAAGAAACTCGATTTTAACATTTCAATTTAGATTCCGAGAGTAGCATAGTGAGGGTTTTGCTCAATTAATACCAGTAATTAGTAGTATGTCTTGATGGGCTGAGGTTATACACTATTGAGTTGTGATGGACAGAGCTAGTACGTAAGCATTGGACTGGTTTCAGTTGGAATGTATAGGCAATATGAGTGCCAAGAGGACACAAGGCAAACTCCTGTTGAATTTGCATTTGTACAATTGGAATTCATATTGACAATGAATGCCAAATTAAATCAGTTCAATACTTATTTATATCTACCATTTTTGGAATATGTTAATCCACTACAAATTAAAATAAGTGAATGCACCTTATATGCCTGTCTAATAAATAGAAATAGTCATCTGTCAATGTTATAATAATGACGTCATAATATTGATAACAAACGTGGCATGGCATAATAGCTGATATGAATGCCATTTGAATGTGATAGGGTCATATGGTGCCATTGTCATACAATGACAAATACACTAATATATATTGATGGACAAAGGTATTTAATGGTGTGTCGTTATAGACGGTGGTAATACACTGAAATGTGGTAATAGGCGGTGGTAATACATTGGTATGTCGTTGAAGGTGGTGGTAATACACTAGTATGTCATAATAGACGGTGGTAATACACTGGTATGTCGTAATAGACGGTGGTAATACACTGGAATGTCGTTATAAGCGATGGTAATACACTGGTATGTCGTTATAGACGGTGGTAATACACTGGTATGTCGTAATAGACGGTGGTCATACACTTGAATGTCGTAATAGACGGTGGTCATACACTTGAATGTCGTAATAGGCGATGGTAATACACTGGTATGTCGTTATATGCGGTGGTAATACACTGGTGTGTCGTTGAAGGCGGTGATAATACACTGGTGTGTCGTTATAGGCGGTGGTAATACACTGGTATGTCGTTGTAGGCGGTGGTAATACACTGGAATGTCGTAATAGGCGGTGGAAATACACTGGTATGTCGTTATAGGCGGTGGTAATACACTGGTATGTCGTTGTAGGCCGTTGTAATGCACTGGTGTGTCGTTGAAGGCGGTGATAATACACTGGTGTGTCATTTTAGGCGGTGGTAATGCACTGGTATGTCGTTATAGGCGGTGGTAATACACTGGTATGTCGTTGTAGGCGGTGGTAATACACTGGTATGTCGTTGTAGACGGTGGTAATGCACTGGTATGTCGTTGAAGGAGGTGGTAATGCACTGGTGTGTCGTTATAGGCGGTGGTAATACACTGGTGTGTCGTTGAAAGCGGTGGTAATACACTGGTATGTCGTTGAAGGCGGTGGTAATGAACTGGTATGTCGTTGAAGGCGGTGGTAATGAACTGGTATGTCGTTGAAGGCGGTGGTAATACACTGGGGTGTCGTTATAGACGGTGGTAATGCACTGGTATGTCGTTGAAGGCGGTGGTTATACACTGGTATGTCGTTGTAGACGGTGGTAATGCACTGGTATGTCTTTGAAGGCGGTGGTAATGCGCTAGTATGTCGTTGTAGGCGGTGGTAATACACTGGTATGTCGTTATAGGCGGTGGTAATACACTGGTGTGTCGTTATAGACGGTGGTAATACACTGGAATATCGTTATAAGCGGTGGTAATACACTGGTATGTCGTTATAGACGGTGGTAATGCACTGGTATGTCGTTATAGGCGGTGGTAATACACTGATATGTCGTTGAAGGCGGTGGTAATACACTGGTATGTCGTTGAAGGAGGTTGTAATGCACTGGTGTGTCGTTATAGGCGGTGGTAATACATTGGTGTGTCGTTAAAGGTGGTGGTAATGCACTGGTGTGTCGTTATAGACGGTGGTAATACACTGGTGTGTCGTTATAGGCGGTGGTAATACACTGGTGTGTCGTTATAGACGGTGGTAATACACTGGTGTGTTGTTATAGACGGTGGTAATTCACTGGTGTGTCGTTGTAGGCAGTGGTAATACACTGGTATGTCGTTGTAGGTGGTGGTAATACACTGGTATGTCGTTATAGGCGGTGGTAATACACTGGTGTGTCGTTATAGGCGGTGGTAATACACTGGTGTGTTGTTATAGACGGTGGTAATTCACTGGTGTGTCGTTATAGACGGTGGTAATACACTGGTGTGTCGTTATAGACGGTGGCAATACACTGGAATGTCATTATAGACGTACGGTGGTTATATACTGGAATGCCGTTATAGGCGGTGGTAATATACTGGTATGTCGTTGAAGGCGGTGGTAATGCACTGGTATGTCGTTTAAGGCGGTGGAAATACACTGGTGTGTCGATGTAGGCGGTGGTAATGCATTGGTATGTCGTTAAAGTCGGTGGTAATACACTCGTGTGTCGTTGAAGGCGGTTGTAATGCACTGGTATGGCGTTTAAGGCGGTGGTAATGCCCTGGTATGTCGTTGAAGGGGTATGTCGTAATAGACGGTGGTAATGCACTGGTTTGTCGTTGTAGGCGGGGGTAATACACTGGTGGTAATACACTGATATTTCGTTGAAGGCGGTTGTTATGCACTGGTATGTCTTTATAGGCGGTGGTAATACACTGGTATGTCGTTGAAGGCGGTGGTTATGCACTGGTATGTCGTTTAAGGCGGTGGTAATACACTGGTGTGTCGTTGAAGGCGGTGGTAATGCACTGGTATGTCGTTGAAGGTGGTGGTAATGCACTGGTGTGTCGTTGAAGGAGGTGGAAATGCACTGGTATATCGTTATAGACGGTTGTAATGCACTGGTGTGTCGTTGAAAGCGGTGGAAATGCACTGGTATGACGTTGAAGGCGGTGGAAATGGACTGGTATGTCGTTATAGACGGTTGTAATACACTCGTGTGTCGTTGAAGGCGGTGCTAATGCACTGGTATGTCGTTTAAGGCGGTGGGAATACACTGGTGTGTCGTTGAAGGCGGTGGAAATGCACTACGGTGGTAATACACTGGAATGTCGTTATATGCGGTGGTAATACACTGGAATGTCGTTGAAGGCGATGGTGATGGACTGGTATGTCGTTGAAGGCGGTGGAAATGCACTGGTATGTCGTTATAGACGGTTGTAATACACTGGTGTGTCGTTATAGGCGGTGGTAATACCCTGCAATGTCGTTTTAGGCGGTGGTAATACACTGGTATGTCGTTGAAGGCGGTGGTAATGCACTAGTATGTCGTTGAAGGCGGTAGTAATACACTGGTATGTCGTTGAAGGCGGTGGTAATACACTGGTGTGTCGTTATAGATGTAGGTAATTCACTGGTATGTCGTTATAGACGGTGGCAATACACTGGAATGTCATTATAGACGTACGGTGGTTATATACTGGAATGTCGTTATAGGCAGTGGTAATACACTGGTGTGTCGTTATAGACGGTGGTAATACACTGATGTGTCGTTATAGACGGTGGTAATATACTGGAATGTCGTTATAGGCGGTGGTAATACACTGGTATGTCGTTATAGGCGATGGTAATACACTGGAATGTCGTTATAGCCGGTGGTAATACACTGGTGTGTCGTTGTAGACGGTGGTAATACACTGGAATGTCGTTATGGACGGTGGTAATACACTGGAATGTCGTTATAGACGGTGGTAATACACTGGTGTGTCGTTATAGACGGTGGTTATACACTGGAATGTCGTTATGGACAGTGGTAATACACTGGTGTGTCGTTATAGACGGTGGTAATACACTGGAATGTCGTTGTGGACTGTGATAATGCAATGATATGATGTATGGTGCTATGGTGATATATATATGTACTGGATTGCCGTTATGACCTGTTTGATATGAACAATTAATACATCAATATGTCCTGATGTACTCGGAAAAGACGCCGGGATGTTGTTAAGTGTTGAAGTGATGATAAGCTGGTATATATGCTGCTTTGGGCTAATGGAATGCCCTGGTACACTGGTCCCCATGCGCCAACTAGAGCTGTTTATATAATTAAGATAGCCAGTTTCATGATTGTTGTAAAATAGTGAGTTTCATAATTGTAGTAAAATAAATAAAGTTTACATTATAAGCCAAGCAGGGGTGAGTTTATGCAAATCCGTTTCTCTGTTGCAGATGATGGCTAATACCGCGGTGTATATTATAATGTTCTTTTTTGGCTCCATCGCCATGGCGGTCAACTCTTGTTGGAGAGGCGGCTACAAAGCTACAGCGGTATGTTAAACATAAACCATTTTATATTAATGAGAGATCAGGCCCGGTTGTTCAAAACCATTTAAGCTTATGATGTCGTTAGATTTACCGACTCGCTAACCAACGTTTTGAACAACGGTTCCAGTTACTCGAAACCGTGTCAATATTCCGTCTTTGCTTATTGCAAAGTTATTCTCTCTCGTCAGCAGGTAATGAGTGTTACGTCATTGGATTGTGTGAGAAAATTACGTGGTTTTCTCAAAAGTTGATGACGTTACTCTCACAAACCAATGACGTATCAATCAATACCTGCTCATAAGAGCAGATAACTCTGCGATACGAAAAGACGGACTCGCCGTTGTTTGGTATTTTCATGAATATTGAAATTCATGATTATTTCGCATCTCTGTGATAGTATTTCTGTATATTTTAACTATGTTGTTCTATTGAATGACATACTATTTTAACTAAGCTAAACGGGAAAACGTATGAAAATAACATAATTGACCACCTTTGAAGTGTACTACATGATCAGACTCATATGCATCGTTGAGTGTACAATATATTGAATTACCATTTGTTTGATATTTTCATAATAATATTGAAATTCAATATTATTTTGCATCTCTCTGACAATATTTATGCATGTTTTAACTTTGCTGTATTATTGAATGACACACTATTTTAACTAAGCTATAAACGGAGAAAATTATGAAAATAATATGGTTGACAATATTTGAAGTGTGCTATCAACTCATGTGTATCGTTGAGCATGGGAAATTACTGAAGAACAATATGTTGACTTGTCGTAAGGTTGTATCGGCATTGATTTAAACATATGTATTGCCCCAATTGAGCAGGGGATTATTTATACCAACTTATCAACGCATTTTGCTCGAATACAGTGCATCCGTCTTTGCGTATTGCAGAGTTATCTTCTCTTGGGAGCAGGTATTGATTGTTACGTCACTTGTTTGTGAGAGTAACGTCATCAACTTTTGAGAAAACGACGTAATTTTCTCACACAAACCAATGACGTAACAATCAATACCTGCTCCCAAGAGAAGATAACTCTGCAATACGCGGCATTTAACAAGGCATACATAATGTACTTTACTAGTATTATCTGTTACTTAAAACCTGTTGCTAGATTTGATAAACAAAAGATAGAAGACTAGAAAGTTTTTAAAGACAGAAATGTTCTCATTGTTTTGTCTAACGAATTCCAAAAACGTAGACTTGATGGGAGAAAAGAGAAGTTGCTTGAGGAGAGTCTGAAAGAAGGAATATTGTAACTATTTTAGTTCCGTAAATTGTACCGATTCATACACATTTTATATATTACATTGAAACAATATTGCAAATCAAAAATACTTTAGGCATTCTCACGTTGAAGGTCTTGGTGTTTGTTGTGATTTTAACAGATAGAAAAAGCGAATAACAATATTGATTTATGACATCTAGAGGTCAATAAATGGTCATTCCAGTTTGGGATTTTGTCCCTTAGAAAGACTGACTATACATTGTAGGTTTTGAGTTGTGATGTGAGTTTGGAAAAAAACAAAAAATGAAATACTTTTATGATTATGAGTGTACATCATAATCATAATGAGTGTGTACACCTAAAATTAGAGAAAGAATTGTATACTTTGCTACATCCTTTCCTTACCATCCCACAGGCATTCGGATTTTTTACCACGGGAACCTGCGTTGCCGAATTAGTACTGCTGTTGATTCGATTGCGAGAAGAGCATGAACCCACTCAGAACCGATTTCTCATCCTCATGGGTGTCCAGGCGCAAAGTCAACAAAACGCTCCCCCACCCTACGATCCTGAGAGCAATATGGCCACAGATCCGCCCAAGTACTAGTTTAGACTAAATTTATCAAAAAATTAACCATTTCATTTAAGATCAAATAACATAAAATCATTTTCCATAACGTATATGTACATCATTTTTTTTTATATTAAAACGCATGTTTTTATGATTTCAATATTTCTGGAGTTTACTTTAAATTTGAAAGCGAGTGTTTAGTTTTTAAGATATTTCCTGTTTTGTAATCAACAGGTGATGACGCTACACGTCCAAATGCTCACTGAACATTTCATGACATCGCATGTGCAAGCAACGAGTTTTGACGATTTTGAAGAAACAAAAATCGTTTGAATAACATTTTTTTAATTTGCATGCCAGTTTGCACTATCAATTTGTGTTTATGTTGTATTTTGAGTCGTGTATTGATTAGAATCCTGAAATGAAAACATGAAAATAGATAAATGTGTATGAGTTTCCATTCATATACATGTATGAAACGGAACCAAGAGTTAAGTTTTAACAAGCCTCTGGCGGGCTTCAAACTTCCTATAAGTGGAAATTAGTGTAAGAAGCTGTAAATCAAAAACAATGTCACAAGAACTCGTGAAAACACTTGTACATACCAACGGAGGACCCTATAGCCAATCATGACTCCGCTAGTTGTTATTAAACACTTTAGTAACACAGTTTATAGAATTGATGATGACAATGATAATTATATTGTGTTGCTGGCCCCAGTTTCAAGGAAGTTCGTTACTCAGGATTTGCCAATAGTTCAGTAGAGAACATTTTTTTCTTTTCTTGAACTAGTCTATCATAATGCTCCCCTATGAAAGCTCATAACTCATAATTGATTATTTTCCCTAAGTTAGGAACGTTCGTGAAACTGGGGCCATGGTAGTCATGTGACAAACCATATTAGCATCATACACTTTTTCGGTGTAGCCATGACAAGGCCGGTGATTAAAATTATATCATATGAGCAAATTCGTGTATAATAATATACAAATGTAATGTCTTTCTTTACATTTATATGATTAGATGCAAACTCGACGTCTTTGTTTATATATTTACATAATTAAATGCAAACTCAATTTCTTCATTTGTCTTTTTCATAAAATGGGGTCAGAGAAATACACCACACCGCATTTCTCACTTACATAACGCTCACGTTCGCTCTCTGCATCCCTGGATTATGTCATAGAAAAATTGATGGCAAGCGGATAGATATTTGATTTGTCTAAGGTAAAAAAAACAACAACTTATTGCTTGGCTGATACATGTCCTTTTAAGATTACAAAGGAGGGACACCCGACTTCAAAGCCACTCATTTTTTTATGTGCATCAAATCCACAAGGTGGTGCACACTGAGCCTTCCATTTTGCTATGACATAGTCCAGGGGGACAGACAGCTTAAGTGACTTTTTGCAGACGACTTCCTACTGTATTGGGAAATAAAGACTCAATACATAGGCTTCAAAATTACATCCAACAGGGGGGTAATAGACGAAAATCCATTCAATGACTCAAATGCATAATGTTAATGCTATTCTACCTCAATAATGCATCTATGACAGTAACATGTGTAGATTATACTGCTTACAGTCGCGGACATATTTCCCTCTATTGCCGACATGATATTTTAACCTGCTCCCCATTCAGAGAGAAGGGAATTGTCAGTGCTTTCGACAAAAGATCTATGTAGGTGGACGATGGTGGTGACCAGTTGTTTCGTACGAATAGACTGGTCAACATGTGTTGACAGATCCAAGTGGTCTAAAAATGTACACGGCACTGACACAGGGACCTGAGAATTTGTTACAGCTATATTAGGACCTAAACTGAGCTTCTCGGAATTATTTGACATGTTTTAGGGGTTAAGATCAGTTTTCGGTAGAAATACCACCCCTTAATGACGACCATCAATCAATCAATGTAACTTTTACCAAAAAAGTGGAGTTCGCATTAACCATCATTGGGATAGCTTTTTTTATACCGAAAATTCCTCAACCCATAAACGTAAAATTACGTAAAAATATGGACACCTATGTTAAGGTCCTGAAGTCGAAAGCTCTCGAGTTGTTTTGGTCGAGGACATGTTGAACAAGTCCTATTCCGCCTTTCAGATTTCTCTTTTGTTAACTTTTTCACGGTACATATGCAAGTTGTCCAAAAGCAAGTCTGTTTTGCCTGGTTGTATGGTGCTTTTTTTTAACATAAGCATTAGTTTGATGAACAATGGTGGACTGTTTGAATTGACATTTCGTATCGGTATGTTATTTTTGGTTTCGAATACTGATGTATTCCAGTTTATACGATGTTCTTTGTACTGTCTTTTAATAATAGGATTTAGTACTCTTCTCAACGCAAAACTAGTTGGTTTTATTCTGTGAAGCATTAGCAGGACAAACACGCTTGGAATATAATTTCGCAACATTCTCGATTCTATAACATCCTGTTTTAAAATGAACAGTTAATGGTAGGCGAGTAGCATATATTTTTGTTACTTTTACCTTTTGCTTGGTCTCGTGTGTATTGCACCGATATATGAAGTTATTTTTACACCTCTGGTACCTATCAAACCAGTATTGCTTGTCTGCATACTTCTGTTTAAATACAAAATCAACATGATGTCAAGTATTTTTTATGGATTTTCTTACCGACTGCTGTTACCTTGGTAATAAAATGCAACATCCTCGTTAGTCGTGCTTGTTTCGGTTCAATTAACTTCAACGCCAATCATTGCAAAATTAATTCTGGATTTCATTTAGGAAACTTGTTCAAAAGGAATGAAATATTTTCAGATTATCAATTGATCAGGACTATTCCAGATTTGGAACAAGGGTTTTATGCAATTCAATTAGAAATTGTATCTGAAATGGGCCATTCCAGGTGCTAATCATTTGTTTAATTCGTATAATTAATACTGTCCTAAATCGAAAAGCAGTGGTGAGTGTGCTCTGTAAAATTGAGGTGAAATCTGATAATCAAGTCATTGCAAAGGAGTTCTGTCTGCTAATATTTAACCTCCAATATTCTAACTAAGGCTAGGTAGACCAACTACAGTACTTAACCTTTAGTTCAGCACAAGATACAAAATATCTTGGAATAAATCGAAGTGCAGAGGGCACTCAAGTATGCTGTGTATGAATGATTCAAATAATGGAATAAAGGAGGTGGTATATCAGTACGGAATGACAGTAAATAATAAAGAACATGTTGTTGAGTAAGGGTCAGAATAGCCCATCCCTTAATCATTATTTTCAATAAAAATATATATAACGGAGTTTTAATGCTAAAACAATTGAAACTTGTCTGATATTATGGTCCTTAATTAGTGTTTCAAATCGATGGAAATCCTTCAAGGAATGAAGCTGCTACAGCGCAAACAATATTTGAAAAATAGTAACAGTGACCTTGACCAGACAACCCTGCAACCTAAAATTGTCCTGTAAGATTATGGGAAAGTTAATTTACGATTAAATAAATAAATGTTAAATAGACAATATAAATAGAAAATTATGATATTATTTTTCTACAATTTGTTATTATCATGATTAATTATAGAAAAAATAAAACGGAGATTGTATTATTTCCAGTACGTGTAATCACGGACTTATGCAAGTCCCTTGTGTATCTCTCCTTCTCTCGATATTGTAACGAAGGTTAAAGACCTATATTATTATTCAGTTTCTGGTTCATGTGAATAATATGTATATACGTTTGTTTCACGGAGCACTTGTATTATACTAATCGGGCCATTATCTAGATACTGTATTGGGAACTCGTTAGGCACAGCTGCTGACGGCTACTCTAGTATAAGTAAACATTCTCTTTCACTTGGAGACTTTCCATTGAGACAAAGAAAACACCAAGCCTACTTGATCAAGGACAGTTAACAAACAGTCGTTCAACAAGTCGCGAGCACAAAACTACGCAAAGATTGCCAAGGGGAGAAAACTCTTACACACACACTTTAGAGTATCGTGGAATACGAGGGGTAGTAATTTAAACCAAATATAGTTCGGAACTTTCAGATTAAAAACACCACTGTGAAAGATCTTCACATATTTGCTTTGATTTTTTGTGTCTTATACAGATATATTGAACCATATTATAGCATTGTTCATATCATGAAATAATGAACACATTATCTACAAACTAAGAAATTATTCGGTCAAAAAGCGTAGTAGTCTTAGATTGATAAAGTAAGATGCTCGCTGAAAAAACTTGCCTTTTCATAAAATTTTAACATTTTTTCTTTGATTAATTTATCGTTTTCATATGTATTTCATCATTTCATAGCATGAAATAATCAACACAGCATTTAAAGATCTTCCACGGAAGAAGAAAGTCTGATGTTTGGTTTTGATTTGCGCAGGCTTGGCGAGGACCGCTATGAATGCTGTACACAGTATTCAAAAATCTTTGGCGAAAAACACAAGGACAAAACAAATTATAAACCTTTAAGTTCAGATATTTAATGAGATGAGAATAATGAACCAACATGATGGACAGTTACTGTCAACATAATGATCCCTAAACAAATGCTTCAGTATACCAATATAATGATCCCTAAACAAATTCATTATCATACCAACAATGAATGAATGTATTTCTGTATCACACAAAACATTGAACTCTCGATTCAAAAGCTAGAATATACAAGACCATTTTTCAAACAGCTATGAATTTTCTAGCTAAAATATGCATAAAACATAGTGAAGGATTTCTGATTTCTTTTAAAAACACCATAGATCAAAAAAAATGTTAACATCTTCCCCATAACTCTGGTTTCTTAATACACAAATAAAAGTCACTTTCATATGCAGTATCTCATTTAAATATGATAAAAACAAAAATAATTTTAAACTGTAATTTACATGAGCAAAGGAAAAATTCTCCATGGACATAATGTAAAATTTAAGAGCATACATGATGCTGCACATCAATAAATCTTGACATCAAATATTTTAACATCACATAATCAATATAACCATGAAAATAGAGAATACTCGACAGCCAAAAAATGTTCTTCTGTTTAGTGAAATCTCTGAAATGTTAAAACCTGTTTATTAACTTTGAAGTTCGCTAAAAATATATTCGAGAGCAGATTTTCATCTCATCGCATCACAGGAGCTGCTGTTGGCATGTTTGGAAACATCCCTGATGGATAGCCGGCCTGTAGGGCTTGAGATGAGGGTAGTAAAAGCTGGTTAGCTCGTGTGGCCTCCGGGAACAACGAGTGGTAGTTAGGTAATGGAACATAGGCTGCTGTTATCATTTTTCCTGTGGAAAAACAATTGTACACATGAGCACATACAATTCACTAACAAAATCACACCAAATTACCATTGACCATGTCGAAATATATAGATACGAATTCTTAAGATGATCTGTTACAGTTTAAATTATGAATACTACCATCAAATTCAACTATAAAGTTGTTTATTCATCTGTTGGTGTGTTTACAGTCATATTAGCAGCTATGGTCATTTAAAGACAAAAAATCAACCATAAAATCGTAAAAGGAATGTGTTCAATCTTTCAATAGACTACTGAGGTCATCCTGTACTTCAGTGGAGTTGCATGCCTAGTATTATTTTCCAAAAGTTTATGAAATTGTTACGTACCTCCAAAGTACCGGCCATGGAGTGCATTAACAGATGCTACAGCTGCTGCAATAGTTGGACATTTGACATAGACATTTCCTTGAGGCGATGCCTTGTCAACAAAGATGTGGAGTACTCCTCCATGCTTGTTACACTCATCAATAACATCATCCCGGATCTCCTGATCCCAGTTAGTCCTTGATTCTCTGTTCAGGAGAAAATATTGGAGACATTGAATTCACTTTCGGAGGACAGAAATAATAAAGGTGAAAGTTGAAATGAGACTAAATCTCAGGTTGATATGAGATGACTGATGCATGACAAAATAACTTAACATCCAATATTTTTTAAGAATACATTTGGAAACCCCTTTATTTCTACTTGACATCAAATTTTGATGAAACACGTAGTATTAATTGAAGAAACTTACGAGTTTGGATCAAACATGTTAGATAGCATGAAGCACTGCGTTGCTATGGGTGGAGCAGTAGAACTTGTGGTGCCAGCTGTGTTGGGTGGAGCAGGCTGGCCCACCACAGCAGTCATACTACTTGACACCGATGTAGAATTCCCTGTACTCCCAGCATTCAATGCATTTGCAGCATAATCTGGAATTTGGAATCCTGTTCCTGAAAAAGAAAATTCATTTTTATTGATTTTATTGAAAATATAAACATAACATACACCCCACCCCCCTTTCTTTTTACCACGTGTACAAACTAATAGTGTCTTTTGCTCTTTAACCACTGGTGTCCCTAGTTATCATTATAAAAAAAAATGCAGTGCTGATTTTTTCTTGAAATTAATATCTTCAGGTAAACGATATACACATATTCTGTTTGAAAAATCTGACCTACCTTCTGCTAACTTAGCCATTAGTTGTAGCCGGCCTGTTGCTCCCAAGTCAATACCTGCTCGGTCCATCTCATCGCTGTCCAACATGGATGCTCCTTGGGCCTCCCCTGTTCTCTCTGTGACATGGCCTACTTTCATTGGTCTGCCAGCCAACTCAAAACCATTCAGCTGCTCAAGGGCCTTCTTGGCATCTTCTGCATCTTTGAACTGCAAGATAATTGATAATTCAGAGCTTTTTTCATATTAAAACAACTGTGTAAAAGAGATTTTTTCTGTAGTTAGAAATATACACTGGTAGTATTTAAAAAATATATATTTTAAAATATTTTCAAAGAAATTTCCCTAATAGAAAATGCTTTTCCTACTTTTTTTACTTAACTATAAACTTTGATATGGATAGAAATAGAGAATATGATTTATAGAGACTACATATATGTGGTTTAATACGGGTATATCCAATTTGCCATTTTAATAATGATAAGGTCAACTTAATTTTTTCTGAAGAGCACTTACAGATATGAATCCATATCCCTGAGATCTTGAAGTCTCGTGATCACGAATTAACTTGATATCTTCTATCTGAAAAATTAAAGGAAAAGTCATATTAAAATAATTGTTTATATAATTTACAATCCCAATCAAATGTTTAATCATCTCCAAAATTTAAATATATTGCTTTAAGTCACATTATTCAAGAAACTAGAAATGTCTAACTTTAAGACATGAATGTAAGCGTACATTTTTTTGCAAGTTTCTACAAATAGTAAGCGACCTTAACTGTTTCTGAAAAAAACACCTCATTATTCTAAAACTAGAATTTGCATTAACTTTGATCAAAATCTGTTAACAATTTAAAGTTGCTGGAGTGGTTTCATTGAATTGTTTTGACATATTTTTATGATAATGCTGTCTTTGGCCTAACATTGGAATCCTGAAACAAGAACTTGTTCAAGATTATATTGTATTTTATCTTTATACAGATATTATTGTATTTTATCTTTATACAGATATTATTGTATTTTATCTTTATACAGATTATACAGATATTATTGTATTTTATCTTTATACAGATTATAGATATTATTGTATTTTATCTTTATACAGATATTATTGTATTTTATCTTTATACAGATATTATTGTATTTTATCTTTATACAAAATTTGATCAAATAAAATAAAAAAGTAACATGCCTCCTCATAAAATGGCAGTGGCAAAAACATTTTTTGAAGAAAACTCATTACATAATTTTTTTTTGGAAATTCAATCTTCAACTTTTTTAACGTACTAGTGCTGCCAATAATTAATTGAGTCCCATTATTCCAGATAATAATTGAAACGCAATTGGATACATGACATATCAATCTGTTGTTGAATATTATTAATATCTGTAGCTTTGACTAATATTTTTTTAAACGAAAGTACAAGTCCAAAAATTCAAGCTATCCCATTGTTTGGTCCGAGAAGAAATTATGCAAAAATAAGCTTGTCAAATGCCTTATTAAAACAGAAGATTTGAAAATTGACTTACTGCACCAAATGGCTCAAATATTCCACGTAACATATCTTCGGTAATGTTGAAATGTAATGATCCCACGTATAACCTCATTGGACCAGAGTTGCCTTTTTGTAGAACATTTGCTGCATTAGCTAGTCTATTTTTCTCAGCTTGAGATGGCTGAACAATGATTGGAACAGCTAACAGTTTTTGGTTTGTTAACCCAATGGCTAATGGCACTGACTCTGTATCTTGAAACTCTACGTAAGAAATTCCTTTTGATCTTCTGGTCTTGTTATCCATGATCAGTCGAACATCCCGTACCTGAGATGCATAAAGGTAATCAAAAATGATACAATCTAATATCAAACAATTAAAAATAAGAAAGGTATTCAAGAAATAAACATATGGGGTGGAAGATTCAGCAGGGCCGTACACTTTTTTGATTCCAGCCAAACACAATGCATTTTTCCAGCAGCCTGTTTGATAAACTGTAGCCTGAATCTGTATTGTTATACTTGCAAATATATCATGAAACATAAACTGAAATTATTCCATTGATTTGCATGTAGTTTTGAATATATATATATATTAGAAACATCCTACTTTTCAAACAAAGAAAAGAATTTTGGTTTTCTCCTCTCAATATTCAAAATGTAACTCAAACATGCAAATATATATTTGCAGAACTAGCCTGTGGCGAATTCGAGAAATAACCTACTTTTCCAACGGAAGAAAAGAATTCTTCAAGATCTCTTGGACGAATTCTGGCAGACAGCTGCATGCAGAAAACAGTTCTAGCATCCCTTTCTTCAGGAGTTAGCTCTGGACCTGGCTGTCTGTAATAAATATCATTCATTTGATAATGACAATGAATGAAAAAGGCATCGGGTATTCACTCACAAATCATTGAAAACTAAACAAAGGGATCTGCATTTAGATCAATATGCATATAGTGATTTTCTGAAGGTGAACTTAAAGCTGTTATAAGGCTCCTTCCCCCTCAATATTTCTCCTTAAACAATGCACGATCATTTTACTTTTCCCACGTCATGATTTTTGTAGGCAAAATATTTGTGAAGTCCCAAGGACCAGGCCCTTGTAGAAAAGTGGTAAAAAGTCAATCATAAAACAGAAACCAAAGGACAAAAAAATCATATAAATCTTAACATGACAAAAAAGTCTCTGTGCCTAAATATAAAGCAAGAGTTGACATATTCTGGGACAGTAGCCTGCACAAATAATGAACAACGAAGTGATATCTCATTCAATATAGTATATATAGTAATAGAAATCCTGCATTCAGAATATGAATACTAACATTGACGAAGATCTAGTAAATAATCAAAGAGTAGTTCCAGAATTAACCGGAGGGGAGGGAGGCACTTTTTTAAGAGACCCAAACACCCATGAAATTTTTAAAGTGATTTAATATTAGGAATTGTAGGCAGATCTAGTTTCAACATCATCACTCATCATATATTGGTACAGGTGATACAGGTAAAAATAGTAACGTTGGTATATTAGGTTCGCAATTAATTACCAAATGATACACACTACAAAACAAACTGTCTGTCATATGGTTACATATTTTAATTACCTTGTGTATCTGTATGGGCTTCTACTGTTACTCCGTCCCCGTCGGTCACGGAATCTTATTGGTGAAATACTCCTGCTTTTCTTTCTCCTTTCCCTACTGTGACTTCGCTTCCTATCCTTCCGTCTCTCCTTTTCCCTACTTCGACTTCTTTTATGTTCCTTCCTTACGCGGTCACGCTCTCTACTTCTACTCCTGTACAAAACAAAAATTATGCTACACTTTGCTGTATAGATTGTTTAATTTTGTGTTGACCATATGCGAGATGAGGAGTCTTAACTTAATGTATTATCAAATTTGAAATCTTGTTTCAATGTATGATTTATTACTCATTCTTTCTTTCATAAATTTTGAGATATTTGTAAGAAATAATAATATAAATTAAAATATTTTTATTTTAACTTTCAACAAGAATTTAGTCTTCTAATGGTACAAGCTGAAACATGAACATACACTGTTCCACTGATTTGAGATCCAAGTTTACCTTTTTCTATCTCTGTCTTTCCTGTCCCTATCACGATTATGATCTCGCTCTTTCCTGTCTTTGTCTCGATGGCTGTGAGTCTTGTCCCTTCCCTTGTCCCTATCTCTGTTACGGTCTCTATGCTTTCTGAAATTTTAAAACAAAAAAACTGATCAGCTTTCAGGCCCAAAAGAACATTTAACCAATTTATCATGCAATCATCAAATCACAGCCAAAATTAAAAAGTTCAGACACAGACAATAGAAAACTGAGGAAGGATAAAATGGCTGGGATACAGTCTCAACTGATTTGCAAGGGTATTATTTCTTTTTTTACTTTACATATTATTAAATTATTGATTTTCAATTTTTATAATAAAAATAGTTGTTACATGCAGAGGTTCACCTGTACTGAACTGTCAAAGCTGAATGGAAAGATCAGGCATTGTTCTTACAGATGTTTGTTTCCCTTGCAACAGCAAGGTGTTATCTATACACAAGTGTTGTATGTGTATGTGAGTAACTACCATATGATAAGCATTGCGTAAAGACTTAATCAATAATAATCCAACAAGTATAACCTGTAACCAATATGCAGCTGTTCAATGAATATTTGATTTAATGACTTGCAAAAACCACAAAAGAACCTGTTAAGATATTCTATCAATGATGAGAGAGCTCTACGGAGCAATGAGTAAAGCGAATAAATCTGGCGAGAGTTTAATTCCATTACCTTTCCTTGGCTTGGTTATTAGAAGAAACAAAACTTCACCTATGTGTATCGCATGCTATTACCAATGTCCAAAGTTCTCTTGGATCTGTGGAGACCACTTAAAGTGTCATGAATGGCCGAGACTAGTTTGTTTGGACCCTAACACTTTGTCCAACGTACCTGATTTCTGGGATTGCCTTACAGCAAGCTTTTATGTCATGAAAACGTTCTGATCATTGTCTCGCCCTTATCAGAGGACCGAAAGTGATAGCACCTAGTAATACATACAGACAGAATCAAACATTAGACTCCTTCACAAGATTAAGTTTCAGAATACAAGACTTAGAAATTAAACCACTCCTTGTCCACTCGCCCGAGTCTTAGAGGGTGAACCTAGAATACAATAATTGAAATAAAATATTTGCTTCTTCCAATGCCTGGGACTTAAGTTTCCCTATCCCTTTTTACAAGTGTAATTCCTGTGAAAGAATGGAAACTTCCTGATATGGGTATCCTCTCTCTGAAGAGACCAGTGTACTTTTTAATTTTTAAGGATTCCTTCTCTTCAGTACCTACATGAGAAGGAAACACCACAATAAATCATAATCATTACAAATCTATTTAACTAAACTGGGCATTTTCACAATCAGTTTCCCACAAAGAAACTGTATGATGATGAATCATATTTAGGTCAAGAGGATCCTGCAATGAGAAATGAAAGTTTTAAAGGCCCTCATTGGATTTTTTTTCAGTCAAATTCTTGACAATGTACCATGTATGTTTCCTGCAATAGCAACAAAAATTTGTAGTAAATCTAGCATTGATTATATGGGGGCAAAAAAAAGGGACTGCTTTCAAATGAAGACCAGTTGGCTTCAAAGTTATATTCCACTATTCTTAATGTTATGTTCCAGAGTTGACTTGGGATTAGTAGTTTTTAGTACCGTTTATTTATACAGAGCATTTGCAAAACTCCCAGCTATTTGAATAGGTTAACTACGATTTAAAGGAATGTGGGAGGGGAGGATTAGTTTATATAGAAAGGAAAACAAAGTAAAACATAAGAACATACCTTTTCTCCCTGTCGGATGATGCATCTCCTCTTCCATCATCCTATGATGTCCAAACAAACAGCAAATCAGAAATGGCACAGACAGCAGATGGAAATTAAAAGTTGGGAGAGAAAGAGAAAATAAATGATCTCATTAGTTTTGTTACTTTTCAAAAATCCAGATCTTTTAAACTGGTGATATTTCCATCCAAGTTAAAATGTTTTGAAAGACCCCAGAATATTACAATACATTTTACCTTTCTTGCAATATATAGAGTATTAAGTAGTATGGCAGCTGAAAAATAAAAAGTGCAAATATTCCATAGTCCACATCTCCCACTCATGCATATGAAGCCTCTGTATTGAATTGTTTTGCAATCCAGGTAAATGATGAACAGATTTTTTTTTTTCCCAGACAAAAATTGGTGGGTAAAGTTCTTGAATTTTAATTAACTGATTTAATTCCAAACAAAAACTTCACAGTTATGCACAACCACTCACAGATTTCTTAAGTTTGTATTGAGTACCTGCTTTTTTATTTCCGTTAATTCCATTCTTAAGATAACAGAAGATTTTAACCCCTCTTCCTTTCTACCCAATCTATTGAATCAAATAAATGAAGGACCATGCATGGAACCAAAAAATCGTTTTAATCTGAATCTACTCTTGAAATAAAATTTGACTGATGGCAAGGAAAATATTTTCATCAATTTCTTTTTCAGAAATGAATATATGATTATATTCCATTGGGAAACAATACAGCCAATCAATACAAACAAAAAAGAGAACACTCATAGCAATATGCACTTCGACATAGCATTCACGCATAGCTGGGAAATATAGATTTGCAATGTGTGACATTGATCTTCGCTTTTTGTTATTACAAGGGCGACTTGGAGTTTCCTTCTGCAGCAATCTGGTCAGCTTCTTTCCAAAAGCCATCAGGTATCCAACCCTAAGACGAGAGGGATGGACAGAATTCAGTTTGCTGTTCATTATTTGGTCGTGCATACATTTGTATTTTATTTGAATAGTATAATTTTACCCCTGAATTGTTTAAAAGAAAAATTAAGTGAGAGATCTCTGATTGATTGGCAAGATACTTTTTTTCTGCGTCATCCATCAAATCAACCACCATTGGTGTTAACTTAAATTCACATCTTTTTTAAAGAAACTAATGTGATAGCATTCACATTTTTCATTATTATTTTTATTCAAAATGGGCAAATTAATGAAATGGTGACTATGTATTTTCTAAATATATTGTCAAGAAACAGCAAGAGTACAGCTTCTTCACAATCAGTTTATAGTACCTGAACTTGCAAACGTGTCGCTTTGGTGTACAAGCCGAACAAGGGATATCTACAGATAAAACCAAACAAATTTTCTCATTATAATAATATCTTATTACAGTGAAACTAATTGAAAGATGTCAATGCCAATGCAAAAAATCAGACAATTATGGAGTTTGAAAAATAAAGGAAACTGCATGAGCAGTAAATAAAAATAACTTTGCATGTGAAAAATTGTTTATCTCAAAAAAAAAATTGAAACACGACACAACCAACTATTAACTGTTCTTGGGGGGAAAATCAGCAGAAATTTCCAGATTACTAAGAATTCCATGTATTTGGGAGTCCCTGCAATCTTCATGATTAGGGTCTCTTATTCAACAATTGACTCACCATTCCAAGAAATGAAAAATTCAATCCCGATGTGAAAACTGAATCTGATGGATATAACCATTTCACATCAAAACAAGACAGATCTAGACACATTTCAAAACCTTTGTACAAGTTTTACAATTCTTACCATCACCACTTAAATTACCGTCTGATAAAGGAATCCATACATCCCTCAACAGAGCTAAATTGTCAACACACATCTCAAAATAACCATAATTTTAATGACAGAAAATATTGTAAATTCAAGCAATGAAAGATGATTCAATGTTATTTTAAATAAATTTAAATGGAGCAATGATAAAAAAAAATCATTAATATCATAACAACCATAATAACATGATGCAAATAAACTAAGGCATATTTTACAGGGGTTAAAAGAGATTTTTGATACATGTTAGCAAGTAATTCAATTTTCTTTCATATCTATTAATTTCCAAAGTTGACAAAACTAGTCCCACAGCAAACATACAAAAGAAAAGTCATAATAATCTAAAACGTAAAATACTGTAACAACAACAAACAAAGGAACAATGCCTCAATCATATATCAAAACCTCAAATAAACTAAATCAGCTTTCAACTTGGAAAAAAACAAAGCTACATTAGACCATCAGTTTTTGATACGAACCTCTTTTTTATATGGAGCCTCTAGCATCGCTTCCACATCGAAGTCGTCAGCCATCTTGTTAGAAACTTCTGCAACAATACAATTTTAATCTAATTATGTAAAATTTAACGAAACCTCAAGTCACACCAGAAGTATATCTTACTGTCATTACATTTCTTCAAGATATTTAAAATTGAGGTGACAATGAGTACCCAAAATGGATCATCAAACTATTATTTTCTTCATTCATTGAAAATTCAGTAGATGAATTATGTTAGTTTATGGTTGTTTCAAAAGGAAAATATCAATAGGTGTTTCGACCAACGAAATAAACAACCAGGGCTCACGCGAGACATTTATAGAACACTGCCAATTTTTTGCAATGTCAGTACCCAAAACGGATCACAGCTTGAGTTTGAAATATTTTGCTTTCAAATGAACATTTCTTTGTCAGCATTTTGATCTTTGAATTTAGAATGAGTTGTTCTACATTCTGAATATATTCCTACAGTCCGGAACAAAATGCAGGCCTTGCACACACCATTTTTTAATAACCTCAACAAAAGCAGTATTTTTAATTTCAAATACCTTTTCTGATGCCCATTGAACTAAGCTAACCAACTGTTATGTATTATAAGGATATACTATCATTATGTAGGGTTACATACCGTCAACCAGTCGTCTAAAAATTATTTACCAATATCCTTGTCCTTATAACTTGGTCTAACCCACACTTTCGTATGCCTTTATATTTGACTATCGGATATTTTCTTTGGGGTTTTATATCTTTGCACAAGTTCTATAAATTGTGTAGCGAGTTCTTATCTTTTGAATGGGCCATGGCCAGGAACGGTCATTTTTAACTGCCAACCCATTGACATGTCATAACTCTCATTTACCAAAACGACTAGAATTCCACATGTGTATTGGAATCAGTCAAATATTAGTTTAATAGTGGTGTAGGAATGGNGGGGGGGGATGTACGTGTTGTCGACGTTTCTGGCAATATAACTAATTTCGCAATTTAAGTAATTTAACATGATTATTTTACAAAGATTAGTTGTTACAATACATTTATAATTACACATGACTGATAACATAGACTATCATACTAATATTATATTATATTATTACGGTAATTAAATGCTACCATATTGTCATTCAATTTGTCCTTGGATTTCGTACCAAGCTTCCGGTAAAATATATTATGTATTTCTATCTAACTGTTAAAGAATTCTCCATTTGGAACAATACATGTAAATAAAGGAAAAATGTAATAAAAGTCCCATCCACTGTATACCTTATTGACAAAGGGAATGGAATCAACCTTATATTTCGATACCAGGAAGTCGTCTGTTTCCAATCTGGCTCGTTTTGCGATGATGGCGTCGTGTTTTGTACGATTTGGGGATTGAATACAAGATCACGGGACAGGGGACGCAACTCTATCTTACAAAAAGGTAAGGTGTCAAAATACTAATGTAACAGGGTCGATTTATTTAGGCATAATTTGCTCAATTAAAAGTATTCATATAATATAATATATGTTTGAATGTATTGTTTGTAATATGTTGTATTCATACTATATAGCATATGTATTCATACAATTTATTCATGAATGAAATATTTGTAATAATGTCCGTGTTTATATAATTCACGACGCAAGACGTAATGTCTTATCTTTACGCTCCGCGCTGGATTTATTCGTGCGGGCGCGGCGCTTTGTTTGTACATGTATATATGTACATGTATTGTGCCGTTTGAAATGTGAGTTGTGGTCAGTGACAGGTAAGACACGTGACGGACTTGACGGACTTTGACGAAGCTATTTGGTTGGTCGAAAGTTTGTGTCGTTAGTACTCGTGTAGGTTTGTTTAAGCTTTCGGGCACTTTTTGAAATTGATTTGAAAGGAGAACAGGTCGGAAGATTCAGCTTGATATTAACAGGTCTATTTTCGGTAAGTTGAAATGTCTATTTCAATTAGTTTGATTCTATATTAACTCTATTCCTCAGTATGTATCTTCCCGCGTGTATGATAAGTGTGAATGGTTAAATAATATGTTTTAATGAATCGTTGATTTGATGACCGGTTTGATACTAAATATGTTATTCTGGAATGAAGGTTCGGGTATTCGTGATCCCATTTTAAGTTATATATTTATTGTAAAAGTTAAGCGTTATGCATTTGTTGTGATACTTTATTCTATTACTCTATTGTATTTATTGTAGTTCGTACAGATTCATTATGTGAGACGATGACGGTTTAGTCATTAGGACGTGCGTTTTCTGCCTTGTGACGTTAATGCACGATACGTGTTGTAAGTGTATTTATACTGTATTTAAAGTGTATTTATATTGCATCTATAATGTATTGATAGTGTATAAAGGTAATATTAAATGCATGTAATTGGAATTTCAAGATTCGAAGTATCGTAAACGTTTATGATAATGTTTAAAGTAAAATAACTATTTTGCTGAAGTCCTAGATGTTATTCTTATATAAATGAATAATTCCTTGTTGGAAAATATAATAAATAAGTACCAGAAAGTGTTGTAATTTTATTATCTTAGTACTGGTCATTGAATTGTTGAGATTTGTAGATTGTATTTTACTCGAATGTGACATATATGCATGTAGAGCTTATACGTATTTTTATTGTGTATTTCAGAATGTTTCTATTTATAAGCATTAAAATGCGACAGAACCGAACCCAGCGGCTTTGTCTTATTTTCGACAACTTCCCACCCGCTACAAGACAGACTTACTGAAGAGGAGTTATCCAGTGGAAAGCAAATGATTTCTAATGATTTGGATCTTGGTCATTCCTCAGCTGTTCATCACCGCATAGAAATTACAGATGAGGTGCCATTCAAACAACGTCATCGGCGTATTCCACCTGCCATGCTTAGTGAAGTTCGTGATCACCTACACCAACTCTTGACAATCGGAGTCATACGTCGATCACATTCACCCTGGGCATCAGCAGTTGTATTAGTTCGGCAAAAGGATGGTCGCTTGAGAATGTGCATAGATTACCGACAGCTGAATCTTAGGTNTTGTAATTTTATTATCTTAGTACTGGTCATTGAATTGTTGAGATTTGTAGATTGTATTTTACTCGAATGTGACATATATGCATGTAGAGCTTATACGTATTTTTATTGTGTATTTCAGAATGTTTCTATTTATAAGCATTAAAATGCGACAGAACCGAACCCAGCGGCTTTGTCTTATTTTCGACAACTTCCCACCCGCTACAAGACAGACTTACTGAAGAGGAGTTATCCAGTGGAAAGCAAATGATTTCTAGTGATTTGGATCTTGGTCATTCCTCAGCTGTTCATCACCGCATAGAAATTACAGATGAGGTGCCATTCAAACAACGTCATCGGCGTATTCCACCTGCCATGCTTAGTGAAGTTCGTGATCACCTACACCAACTCTTGACAATCGGAGTCATACGTCGATCACATTCACCCTGGGCATCAGCAGTTGTATTAGTTCGGCAAAAGGATGGTCGCTTGAGAATGTGCATAGATTACCGACAGCTGAATCTTAGGTCTATAAAAGATGCTTATGCTCTTCCTAGGGTGGAAGAAATTTTGGACTCTTTATCAGGTTGTGACTACTTTTCTACGCTTGATATGAAGAGTGGTTACCATCAAGTGGAACTTCACGAGGACCACAAACAACGGACTGCTTTCACTATTGGGCCTTTAGGTTTTTATGAGTTTAATCGGATGCCGTTCGGATTAGTGAATGCTCCAGCCACATACCAGAGATTAATGGAGGAATGTCTGGGAGAGCTACATACCACCATTTGTTTTGTATATATTGATGACATTATTGTGTTTTCCAAGACATTCAGTGAACATCTTGATCGACTGCAGATGGTATTCGACAAGATCAGATGTCATGGTCTGAAGTTGGCTCCACAGAAGTGTTCATACTTCAAGAAGAAAGTGAAGTTTCTTGGCTTCATAGTGTCAGCCGATGGCATTGAAGCGGATCCAGACAAAGTGCAAAAGATCGTGGACTGGCCTAAACCTTCTTGCCCTGAGGATGTAAGAAGGTTTCTAGGATTCTGTGGTTATTACCGCAAATTTGTGAAAGGATTTTCAGCAATTGTGGAACCATTGAATGGACTGTTACCTTCTACACGGAACAAAGGCCACTCAAAGAAGTCTGACTTACCTGGGTGGAAGTGGGAAAAAGAACAGGAAACAGCATTTCAGACCTTGAAGGATATTTTATCTTCCCCTCCCATTCTTGGCTATCCGGTATATGACTTGCCATTTGAGGTGCATACCGATGCAAGCGGGAAAGGTCTTGGAGCCATTCTCTACCAGCAGCAAGATGGTAGATTACGTGTCATCGCTTATGCCAGCAGGGGTGTGACAAAATCTGAGAGGAATTACCCTGCACATAAACTGGAATCCCTTGCCTTGAAATGGGCCGTAACCGACAAATTTTCAGATTATCTGTATGGAAGGAAGTTTACGGTAACCACAGATAATAACCCTCTGACGTACGTTTTGACCACTGCCAAGTTAGATGCAACCGGACATCGGTGGTTAGCTGCGTTATCTGCATATGATTTCAACATCATTTATAAGCCAGGAAGGACCAATACAGTTGCGGATATCTTGTCAAGATTACCTTGCCATTTTGATGGAGAGGAGCAGTCTACATCCGTGAGTGATATCTCTCTGGATTCGGTCAAGGCCATATGTAGTTCTGTTCAGCAGCCAGTGTCTTTGATTGAGACTGTTTCCATGTCTACTGCAGTTTTTGATGGTCATTGCATGGACACCGACCAGGATCTTCAGGAATTGTCTTCTAGAGACTGGAGACGGGCACAGGATAGAGACCCAGCACTTCGACACTGGATATTCTGTGTCAAAAACAGCAGGAAACCTGACAAAAGACAATTGGATCCTGATCAGCAAGCTATGTTGCGATCATTTGACAGGTTGAAGATTGACAGGGGTGTACTGTACCGTGGAGTTACAGAAGATGGAGCAACACGGAAGCAGCTTGTGTTACCTTCTGCTTACCGGAAACAGGCATTATATGGTCTCCATAATTCTGTTGTACACCCTGGTCGTGATCGGACATTGTCGTTGTTGCAGGAGAGATTCTATTGGCCGGGAATGAACCAGGACGCGGAGAGATGGGTGAAAAGCTGCCGACGCTGTGTGTCAAGGAAGGCTGTTACTCAGAAGGCACCATTAGTGAATATTCAAACGACGCAGCCACTAGAGCTAGTGTGCATGGATTTTCTCACTTTAGAGTCATCCAAAGGAGGATTCCAACACATTCTCGTCGTGACCGACCACTTCACGAAATATGCCCAAGCCATTCCGACGAAAAACCAGACGGCTAAGACCACAGCGGAAGCCTTCTTTTATAACTTGGTGGTGCATTATGGAATGCCTCGACGGATACACTCTGACCAAGGTGCCAATTTCGTTGGAGATTTAATCCATCAGCTATGTGCCATGGCCAACATCAAGAAGAGTAGGACTACGCCTTACCACCCGATGGGTAATGGAAGTTGTGAAAGATTCAACAGAACGTTGCTTGGAATGTTGGGTACTTTGGATCCGAAGGAGAAAGGGGACTGGAAAAGGCACGTTGGTCCGCTTGTTCATGCATACAACAGCATCCGTCATGATAGCACAAGCTACTCGCTCTTCTTCTTGATGTTTGGCAGGCATCCCAGGTTACCGATCGACTTGGCATTCGGAGTAGATATAGGAGGGAAACATCAAACTCTTTCAGGATATGTCTCATCGCTTCGTGATAATCTGAAGAAGGCATATAACTTAGCCAGGAGTCATACAGCTTCCGCATCAAAGCACCAGAAGAAGAATTACGACAGAAGAGCCAGAGCGGCTGATTTACAAGACGGGGACAGAGTACTAGTGCGGATTGTGGCTTTCGAGGGCAAACATAAGATTTCCGATAAGTGGGAAGCGGAAGATTATGTGGTTCTCCGTCAGCCAAATCCGGATGTTCCTGTGTATGTTGTGAAGAGATGTAATGGTGATGGGAAGGAAAGGATTTTACACCGTAATTTACTTTTACCTATCGACATTCCTCATGATGGAAACGAGACGAACCAGGAAAAGAAAACTACATCAGAAACATCAGTTACTAAGAAGAGGACACAGACTAAGCCAGAGGATATAGGTAATTTATCGGAGTACGACTCTGATGAAGATGTCGACACATCTGTCGTCATTTTGGATACTTTACAGGGCCCGCTATCGGACATGGAGAATGGGATTCTAGCAAGTCCCAAGGAGGATACTCCGGAACCTGATAGTCCTGAAGATGAGGCTGCTCAGTCTGCAAATGGCGACGACCATATTCAGTCTGAGGCAGTGGATGTAGCATCACCA